CTTCCAAGATATTTATATATATGTATATATTAGTTGTGAACTCAGCTAAAAAGAAACAAAACTGGAAATTAAATACATGATATTCATGCATTATTGGAATTAATTAGGATCAAGTACCAAGTACTTGTATAAATAAAACAAAAAATTTGCTCCTCAGGGTATAATTATTTTATTATGAGGTATTTAACAAAAGGAACAATCAATATAACACAGTTTTGACCATAATAGGTAATAAAAGTTAGTAGTGCAAATGAAGAAGCCACTTTTTAACTAAAACTTTTCCTTAATAGCAAATTTTGTGATTTTATCTACTTGGTTTTTGTAAATGTTAAACTAAAGACTTTTTTGGTTGAGAAATGCATATTACCTTTTCGCAAGAGTACGTAGAAAATCTGCCGCAAAATTAATTTTATTTAAATGAGGCTATATAAGTTAGTGATATAGAACAAGTAATTATAGAACTAAAACATATGTACAAATAAATCTGTTTTCTCAGTTATTACTTAATTAACAGAAAAATTGTTAAATTGTGCATAAGAATTTTGAAAAATTCATTAAATGCTTTAATGAAAAAATGTATACTAAAAGTAAACAATATTAAACAAAGAGAAATAAGTTTTATTTCTTTGAGAATTCATAATTTATATTATTAAAACTAAACTATTTTATTTTTGTAAATGCTAATATAACTGAAAAAATGCTTTGTATGAATAAATTTTTTTCTTCAAATGTGTGATACATATTTTGTAAGTTGCATCACAAGAAAAGAAAGTTATTTTGATATTAGTAACTACATTAAATTTGACAAAATTTATTTGTAAATAGCATAACACATTTAAATTTCTTTCTTACCAGAAGAGATTCAGAATATCAAAATTGTACAATGTTAAGAGAAATTTAGCAGAGTTTAAAATGAAGATCTAATTTTGCTCGTTTTACAGGTACCGACAGAAAAAAAAACTAATTAGCTTAAAAAAACTATATTTTCTCAAAGCATAAGTGCATTTTTGTTTTCATAATTTTTATTGGAATTTCAATCAATATCTTTTGTTTTCCTTTTTGTATCAAAAGAATTTAGAATATTTGTATAAATGTTTAAGTTTTAATTTTAACTACTTTAAGATCTAAATGTTGTAAATAAAATTATATATAATTATTAATAATACAATTAATACAATTTTCCAAAAGCAATTGAATTAATTTTAAAAAGAAATCATTATTGAATCGTACTTAATAAGAAGGTCACTCAAGTCAATCTGCACATCATCTAGGTAATCTGTGGAACAATTGACATCTAAAGTGTATATGTGATACAGAAATTTACAAATTTCATATTATTTAGAACCTACTGCAGAGGTATTCAAAGCATTTTTCACTCTCTCCCAGGTTGTTTCATGATTACTCAAGTTGATCAAGGTTTTCCAGCAGTTGAATTATTGCACGAAGCAACACAGTGAAGATGAGTCCTACAAGTAATTAATATTATGATAAAAATGTTGATAAGTATAATGTTTTTTTTGTAGTGTTTTCTGCATTAAAGATGTTTTAATTTAAATGTATACAATTGTGTACTCCCAATGAAACTTATATAATTTGTAATATATATTTTGAATTTTTTTATGTTCCGTATTTTACTTAGTTATATAATTTACTAGCTTGATTCACTGCAAGTTTACAAGGTTAATGAAAAGTTTCACAGGGCAATAAACATGATATTAAATAACTAAATATTCAAACAAATGTAACACAGTTAAAAAATGCCATTGAGTTTTTTGTTTGCAGTGTTCACACCCATCTCTTAAAAGTATTATGAAAAATAAAAAAAACAAAAAAAATTTTAAATGTTTTTTTTTGAGTAATAGTCTAAGTTTTTTTGAGTAAAGTTTTGTTAATTTAAAAGTAAATGAACTGAAACTTTAATGGGCAATATTTTACCCTTGGGGCTATTTTCTTGTAAAACATGCATAATTGATATAACTTTTTACAATAGGCATTTTTGTGTGCGTAGCTGTAAAGCTTTATACTTTCGATCTGACTTGAAAATAAGCAAGGCAGGATTAACCATTACGCAAACTAAGCACGAGCCTAGGATACCAGAGGATAGGGGGGCACCACAAAGCCTAAATAAATGTTCGCAATACATAATTTTTTTTTCAAAACATAGCTTATAAATTTAATAGTTTGAGCATCCATGTAAAGAGTAGGGCTTCAATTGTTTTTCTAGTTAACAAGCATTTCAAAGTGCAAATTTTTTCATGAAAAAAAAAACGAAAGATGTTAGATATAAAAAATTCCTGTTTTTATAATGAAATTAGGTAGTGAATTCCTATGCGTTAAAATCTCTATCCACTTATCAATTACAATGATTTTATAACATACTGCTACGATTCATGCTTACAGAATATGTAAAATGTACAGAATATG